AGTAAGGCACTTGTTACTAGAAGCGATGCACTTGTTACTAGTAGCTTATTCCCCTCGGTAGGTATCAGTAGCAGATTTGCAGTCCATTGACTAGTTCATTCTTTTGACCCCCACTCAGGAGGCGCAGATTGCTTGTGTGTCGCTATGGACTGCAATTGTCACCACGATCCTTACGGCCACAACCTAAGATTCGCACAGGCAAAAAACTTGGCCAACGTGAAATTTGTGGACGTGTTTTGACCCGAGGTAGCTTTGCTGATTCTAATCATTGTCTCGTTTGTCGGCGTAGCTTCCACGATACAGGCAGGGCGAAGATGTTCGATTTCTACACAAAACATGCAAAGCAGCAGGGCTTGCAAATGTAGTTCGTCAATTTGACAATGTTTTTGATATGTTGCAGCCATTGGAATTTTAGCATGGCATGTGCAAGACTTGCTGGCATGTGGAAGACGGTGCAAGGACTCCCAAAGCTATTACAACTATCGCTGAGACGATCAAGGGATTTCACTCAGAGCTGAAAGAGCAAGCTCTGCAGGCAGAAAGTTCAGCAAAACATTCGCATGAAACGCGTTCAAAAGAAAACATCTAACTGTGCATACTACTAACAACATCCAACCACAATTCTTGTGACACCACACTTCAAAGACCATGTTTTGATTGTTTGTGTTGGGGTTTATCTTCGGCCGCCTCGGCCTTTGTACAGAGAGTGCGACAGAAAGAAGCAGAACCGTTCAGCGGTTTGAAACTACGATGAGAAATTCTGGGCACTGGGCACAAGTTCTCAGCAACGTTCAGCAATGCCTGCGCTGCGAAGCAGTTGGGATTGCCTTCAGTGCTTTTGGTCAGCCTAGCAATGTGTCCCGCTATCAAGCTTGGGAGAGGTTTCCAATTGAGCGAAAAGGTCATGTACATTCTTCAGTTTGTGAGTCATCAGTGCTTGTCAAGACAACCAAAATGAAAAATCAGAGTTGACTGACACTCAGGTATTTTTGACATCTGACGCATGTGGATTGTAGCAGCGAATGGGCAGGCTGTTTCCATTATAGCCTACAAAAGCGCTGGGGACCGGGCGAAGCTCAGGTGCGCGACGCAAGTTCAGCTTCCAGGCTAGTTGTGGCAGGATGTTGGCGGGCAATGCACTGACAGGGCGGCAGAGTGTGGCAGTGACTCCATCAAGTTCCGGACATACACTTATTTGCAGATACTCTGTATATATATAATTAGATACAAGTTGAGAAAAGTGCATTCATTCATGTTTCCAAACAGTCCTCAATTTGGAAGGACATTTGTGAGGTGTTATAAGCTGTGCCTAGGAGTGGAAATTCGTTAAGTAAACTTTTTTTTGCAAATAGACATGCGAGTCGTACAAACTCGGATCCTATTTACTTCTCATCACATGACACTTTACATCGGTTTCGCATGCCCTTGCTTGACAGGTATCAGTGGGGGTGATGGCATAGCTGCAGGTATGACTCCACCTGCGAAGGCTCCCAATGAGGCTTTAATAGACCTCTCATTCAATAGACCCCTCACAGTGATGGCTTGCTTTGCATGCTGGCAGGTTAGGCCCACTGCACCAGTCGTGGGGGGAGGCCGTCACTTGCAGTCCAAAGCTTGTGTTACAGCAACCCTGGACGTTTTTCATTTTGTGAGGCGCCCAGGGTGGAGCACTTGTAAAAGTGAGCGCTCTGGAGAGTGTAAGCGCTCTTGCAAAAGTGCGCATAGCATTGCTTGGACTCACAGATTTGTAAGCTGGGCAAGAGCAGCCTGCTTGCCGGTCCAAAGCATCCGGTCCAAAGCACAAAGACGGCAGTGGACCTTCAAGACTTTCTCAAACTTCCAGATTTGTACGGAAAAGTGATGAAAAGTCGATCGTGATGGCAATGAAGGGGCACTTTTTGCGATCCATGGCATCGCAAAATAGAATTTCTGAGTTGCCTGTTGAGTCATGTTGAGTCAATGTCCAGAATATCTCTGCAAGACCACTGCCTCAGTTTTGTGCATTCTGAACCTGTTTGGAGCAGATTTGGATTGTATGAACAAGGGTTGTGTACGGGGTGTACTACACACGAACTTGGTAGTTTTTGGTGGTATGTGACCTGCTGATTTAGTTGCTGGCGAGGAGGAAAGAGATGAAATGGGAGCATCCGGAAAGTCAAGACAGCAAGTTTCCAGCCAGGGCTTTGGTCAATCCCAACACTGATCGGAGAGACAAGAGCTAAAATCACTAAATTTACACTAAATATCCGTGGAGCCCAATGCGATGCTTTCGACAGTTTGGCGAACTTCGCGGCGCTTCTTCTCTCGCAGCTGGAAGCTTCCAGAGGCTGGAACAATCTTTACCCATCATGGATGAAATTCACCATGTCAACGTGTCAACCACTTTCATCATCTGTTTGTATAGCATTATAACTATCTAATTATATGGCCTGGGTCTGCTAGATCCGAGATTGGCTGTTCCTGTTTTGCTCACGACGTTAGGGCATCCTCTCAAAGTCAAGTCAGTAAGGTACCGCTAAGTGAGACCTTGGAAGATGCTTTGATTCGCCAGCTAGTGCCACGAGAGGTGGGTGTTGGATGGAAAGAGCATTACATATTTTCTGAACCAAAAGCGAGTGCATTTGGATTGTGGATAATCGTGTGGATAATCGTGTGCTTCTCGATGTTTAAGTAAATATGACAGTCCTTGCATTGCAGCCACGTTGCAACGTCGAGATTTCTCTTGTCTGATTGGAAATCTGTCTCTATAGCAATGTGGAGACGGCGCCATGAGATCAAGGCAGAGATGCGGTGTTTTCACAATTGAAGACTCGGCATGACACTGACCTCATTTGAGAGAACAATTTTACATCATAGTTTTGCAAACTCTTTTGTTGGCAAGTGGCAATTGTTTGCATTTTCATACCGCCAGAGATCTCAGTCCCTGCCTCATTTCTTGGACATGTATGCCAAGAGAGCTGGCGGCAGGTCGCAATGGTTTTCGCTATCTCTTGCTCTTCAAGGCCCGCATGCCCAGCGGGGATGTAGTAGCAGACAAATGTTTGCGAGCAAATTACATGCCAATTGGACAGGGTGAAATGCGCACAAAACAGAGAACTAAGTAGGTAAAAACCAAGCGGCTTGAGATTTTCATAATGCATGCTTGCTGCATGATGAAATGAAACATGCCTAAAGAGAGGACTCTGCATGTAGTTAATGCGGTCCGGCAAGACTGATACAGACTGGCCAGGTTATTCTCTGGGACAGCTGGCAACAGACCCCGCCCAACGCATTTTGTTGCCGTGGCCTTGATTTGTGGGCCTTTTTGGGAATCTATATATATAGATTTTTTTATGATTTTTTGGAACTTGAACTTGCACTGCAGCAACAAAGGGCTCGAGTGCCCAAAGCTGGCACCAAAGTAGCTCACCAACTACTGGTACCTCCCAACAAAGCAACTCACACTGAAGCCATAAGTGACTTAGAGGTGTGAGACAGAAACCTTGCCTGGCAATATGGCAACACGCGCCAAAAGACGGCGGCAATACTTGTCCGCTGCACAGGCGGCTTGAGTGTAGCTTGACAAAGATCGAACAAGTTGATTTTTTGTTTGTTTGCCCGGCTTTGGTGAGGGGATCTTGGGAAATGTTTGGAAGGATCTCAAAGCAGCACCTGAAGATGTAGCAGCGGCCATTGCATCCATGCATGCAGAGAGCATGCTAGAGACGCCACAGGACATACATGGCAGCTACTAGCCACCAGCCGACAAGGTGCCAAGAATACCTTAAGAATTGGCAGATATCACATGCATCAGCTTTGTTCTTCAGCTGTCCTTGAGAGATACAGAGCAATCAGAGCAAACCAGAGGAAATGAGGGACATCAATTTGCTTCAGACACCGCCTTTAGAGATATGGATCTTTAGATACTGCATAAACTTGCAGGACTACACCTTTGCTATCAAGACCCTTGGGCGCAAACGGCTTTGCTCGGAACCAAGTCCAAGCAATGATCTGACCAGTCCTTCCTCAATGTAAGTGCAGCAAGTGTTGCTTTTCAGGATGGAGGCTGGAACACTCTTTGCGCGGCCTCTTTCCTTTCTCAGGTCAACAGGCCCTGGCTATCCTGGAGTCGATGATCCAATTTGGCCCTACGCCAAATGTGATCCACTTCAATGCAGCCATTCGAGCCTGTGAACAAAGTGGCTACTGGGAAGGTGTCGATGGTGGAATATGCCGGCACATCATTCTGTTTATATCTGTTTATACACGAGCAATCTCGTCCTGAAGTAAGAATATTGGAAACTATCAATGATCGGACTGGAGGTGCCTTCATGCTATTTCAGAAGATGGCCTTCCTGGGCATACAGCCCGATGTCATTAGCTTCAATGCGGCAATAACTGCCTGCAGCAGGCAATCCCAGTGGCAAGTTGCCTTGGACGCTTGGCTAAGACGTCTGTGGACTCTGATAGGTCTCTAATGGTCTCTAGCTTATTCTGGAGACCTCCCTCGGCCAGGTGTTTTTGAGTTTTTTGCGGATAATATTCCCAGGAGTAGTATAGCTTGCGATCATTTGCGATCACTGTACATTATCTTCATGTTATCCCATTCATCATTGACCAACCCTAATGAACTAACGTATCATTGTGCCATCCGATGGGGCCTTGAACATCCCATGTTCTTACAGTAAAGCCGTTTCATGCAGCCACGGAGGGCTTGAACTTATCGACCAATTGTGGACATGTTCATTTTCATGTTGGCAAATATTGCTTCAGCCAGTGGCTCTTGATTGGCGATTGGCCAACATATTATTACCCAGCAATCTTAGTCAGGGACACCGTTCTTCTGCCACTTTGATTTCGTCCACCTGGTGTTGTGTGATTGTGTTGCACTTCAAGCCTAGTATGTTCTTTCTCTAATCACTTTTTCGTGCATTCGATATGTTTGTCAGTTTGTGGATTCGATCAAGCATCTATTCCGAAACTCCTCATTCTTCTGATGTTATTTTCCGTCACTAGTTGGTATTCTTCCGCAACTGCTCTTCAGAAAGTACTTCGTGATCTTCAGACAGTATTCTTCGGAGACTTCACATTGCATCCAGATTACATGAATGGAACACGCTAGCGTGTGCGTCTGGGTCTGGGGGTTGCAGCGTCTAGTCACCGAAGATCACCATTTAGTCACCGAATATACGAATTACCAAAGACATGTTTCCAAAGAAAACCGTCAGTTACGGAAGATCACCTTGTACTTACCGAATAGAACTTTGACCCTGTGGATTCCTTCTTTTCAGGGGCCTTCTGCAGCTGCATGTCGCAGTGTTGTTTTTTTTTTTAATTATGTAAGTCAGAGTTGGTTTGGCCAAGTGTCATCAGCCCAGTGCTTCCTGAGGGCTTGCTCCAGCAGATGCGGATGATTTTATTACCAAATGAGATCAGTTGCCCGTCGTCATTGTTTTGTGGCTCACGCATGCATTTGTGGTTTAGCGCTTGACAAAGGCGTCGTGAATATAGTTCGCCGAGGCTATGGTGCCGCCATTGATGCCTGTGCGCGTGCTGGGCGTTGGGAAGAAGCCCGGGGATTGTTGGATGAACCTGTGTTGCATAATGTTGCATACCTCACAACCTGCATGATCGCTCACAGACTCTGTTGCAGACACCATATGATTTCGAATTCTTGGAGGATGCACGAAGCAACTTCTGCAGTCTTTGCAAGCCCCTTACAGCTGAGGACATGGTAGGGAATGGCCAGATGCCAAACCTGGTTTGTTGCAATGCGGCCCTGTGTGCGACCAAAACCGCTGGACGATGGGAAGAAGCGCTGGATCTGTTGGAAAAGTTCCTTGGTGACCTATATCGACTGTCATGTCATGTTGCATAGTGGTGAATGCATCAGGTTGTTCTGGAACAGTCTCTACTTTAAGCACGATGACCCTTGTTCGAGTGAAATGCTGCCAGAGCCAACTTACTTGAGTAGCTTTAGGATGCTTTAGGATGGAGCATGAGTCGCATTACACACATTTTGTGAGCGTTTCAAGTGTGATGCGATCAGTGTCGTCAGTCGTTAGCAGGTGCACCAGTGATGCTTGATTTGCCAATGCACTGTAAATCTTGCTGTCTTTCTGGCTTTGTCCCAACTTTGCAGGATGCAACAATGGAACTTGCAGCCAGATGCACAAAGTTTCACTGCAGCCATATCTACTTGTGGCGCAGCTGGACATTGGGAAGAAGCCTTGAAGCTTCTCGAGAGAGCAGAGAAAGATGCTATTCCGGACTGTACTACCGCGTTTCGTTGGGTTCCTCGCTTCGCCATTGCCACGAACCTTTCTGGGCTTTCCGTTGCCAATGCATTGTTTGGAAGGCCCAGTACATATTGTGTTTGACAGGAGTTCCTTTCATATTATGAAAAATCGCGAGCCACCCTGCAATTAGAGAACAAATGCAGTTCAACCATGCAGATGCAAAGTGACAGAAGTGTTCGTAGAAGTTTTAAAACCGTCAGGTCTCAGCCGACCTGCCCCCCAACAGCCAAGACTAGACCAGCAGCTAGTGACACAAGACAGAAGAAGTGCAACAATCCTTCGGCATCCTTTGGCTATATATTGCATCTATATATATATATACACACACTGCAAAGGGTTTGATTGCTAGCTTGCTTGGTTGCCTGCATTATTGCTGGTCTCCGTTTAAGCTGTTGACCCTTTGATTGATTTGCTGAGTAACTGCAAATGACTTGTTTTTTCAGGACAACATTTGCTGGGCAACAGCTTTGGGTGCCTTAGACTCCTGCAAGCAATGGCAGGAGGCACTAAAGCTGCTCCTCCGGACGCTTGCTGTAATCTTTCAGTCGTGTATTATTTGCAGACTTGTTTCTGTCTTTTCAAATTGTTGCCATTGGGTGAGATCCGGAAGCTGCTTCTTTGAAACTGATGTTGTTGAGGATCGAAGCAGATGCAGGCCTGGTGAAGAGCTGGAGCACTTATTCAGAAATAGTGTTTCCCAAGGTTGCAAGCTTTCTGTATTTGCACCAGATTGCAGTTTCTGTAAACATCTACGTGTGCATTTGCTCTTGACCTGGCAGCCCCGGATGTGGTTTGCTTTGCCGCGACCATGAGTGCATGCTCCAGAGAGTCCAGATGGAAGGCTGGAATGCAAGTAAATGTTCCTGTTCGGAGTTCAATCCTCAGCTCATCATTTGCCCTTCAACCCCACTGTTGCTAATCTCGTTATGTTTATTTTTGAACAAATAGAAGCAACACTACAGACTACAGACGGGTTTTGAAAAGAGCTCTTGGTGCAAGGAGGCGTTGGACTTGCTGGACTTAATGCCATTCATGCATCATAGCCCCAATGCATACTGCTACAACACCGCTGCCAGCGCTTGTGCGCGTGCCGGACATTGGGAGCTGCTTGCTGCCATTGGCCACGAGAAGGGACTTTGCTTCCATGAATTCAAAAATAATAGGATACATGCTAGCAAGAACAAACCAACAAGGATGTGTTTTCTTTTGTTCAATTGGGTGACTCTTTAGGGAAGTGAAGAGGATCCACCGAAATTATCGGGAAGACGACTGCAGACACATGTTTTAATTTTGATGTGCAAAAGCAAAGGTGTTGTGACAAACAATGCTTGGAGTAAACTTTGAGATGCATTGAGCTTACATGGTAGTGTCCTATTCTGAGGAAGTCCCTTGAGTTGCTCAGCTCTATGAGGCCACTTGTACAACATCAGAGAGTAGGGAACCGCATTGATGTATCAAAGCTGAGACAAGTGTTGGGTATGGACACCCATGCCAGCGCTATGCTAGTACTTGTATGTTAGTTTGCTAGTTAGATTGCCGTTTCAGGGATGTTCAGGGTCAAAGCCAAAAAAAACTTTAAAGATTTGAAGCACCCAAAGTTGACAGGCGACACGGCATCGGTCCAGATGCTGTGGCTTTCAATGCCGCCATGGCTGCTGCTTTGGAGGCAGATCATCCAGACCAAGCCTTGCAACTACTGCGGGGAATGGCACAGAAGCTTGGCAAGGGACAATTCAATTCCATTTGTATCCATTTGTATATCACCTGGTTTTTTGTGTCAGAAATTTTTGAACGGACAGACTGGATTCAGAACAACAACTAACAACCGTGAGCGTTGCAGTTGCATCTCCTCGTTCAGTAGTTGAGACGATCCAGAGGTTTTCAAGTAAAACGATCATTCTTGTTTAGATGGAAGACAACCTTCTTCCACTCAAGATCATCCCAACTGATATGAGCTGGATTGTTTCAACATTCTGAAAGCTTGTTTGGGTGAATTTATATATATAATGCATGCGTTGAGTTGAGTTTGAGACTTTGAGTTCAACCTAAACTCCTAGGTCCTGGGCGTTTGAGTTCAACATATCGGAATTAGATGCATTGTGACAGATCAGTTTCTATAGTATTCTATAGACTACATGAGTGCGATAAGCTCAGGCTGGGAGTGCAGCCCAGTGTGGTGTCCTATGGAACAGCGATGTTAGCGAGCAATCGACTAGGCCACTGGGAGGCTGGTGCTAGGAAATGCTTTTTGGGCGCAAGCACACTCCAAACCAAGCTGATTTTTTGGATAGAGGATGCATTGGCACTCCTTGACGAGTTGCGGAGTCTCTCGGCTAAATCAAGTCAAGGGCAAAATGTTCTTATACATGTTTGCACAGATGTATACAATCTTCAGCATATATCCCAGTGTGTGGTGAGGGCATCAGAAGCAGCAAGGCATGTATAGTTATATATACAGTATACAGTCATACAATTATGTTTTGCTCCAACTTGTGCTATGGCCTATTGATGGATATTGGATATTTATCCACAGGTTCTGGGCAATGCCCCGACAGTGGATGCTTGCACGCTGCGCGCTTTGCAGCTAAGCAGGACACTGTCCAATCAGCCAGCAGATTGATAAATGCAATTGCTTGGGATGAGCGTGGCTGCAAATGGTACTTGCTTGTGGAGTTGCAGTTGTTTTGGAGGCAAACATGCACGAGCTGAGTCGGAGCTTGAGCCTGGAGATTTCAAGTGCTTCCAGGCGAGCTGGACTTTTTGGTTTTCTCCAATCCCCCATCATTTGGAAGCAAATTAAGCAAGTATGCAGCTGCCTCGCTGAACACAAGTGTGTGCATGCGAAGGCCTATTCGAGATCCTCAGCCGCAGGAGCGCAGCGCTCCCAAAGAGCCCAACATTGCTGACATTTCCAGGCACTTTTCAACAAGTGCCACGCTAGTAGTAACAGGTGCCTTACTAGTAGTAACTATACTAGAAACAATAAGCTAATAGCTTCTTGTTACTAGTAAGAATGCTCCTAGTAGCGATGCCGAGAGCCCCTGGTAGCGTCCTTGCTCCTAGTAGTAAGGCCAGGAGCCCCTAGTAGCTTCTTGTGTGAACCAATATGAAATGATTACAGTAAATGATGGCCTGATTTCTGTCTTGGAACTGCCTCACGATAGCGGAGGCTTGCCTCTTGTGGTCAATGGCAAGAAGCGCTGACCCTTTTGGAGAGCCTGGAGCCTGACGCCGAGTGCATCAAGGCCGCCAATTATTCAGGACATCCGCGTGACAATGTGAGACACGAAGTGAGCCCCTCCTGGAGGAGCTGATATTTGCCCTTACAGAAGCTGGGCAACATCACCTGGCTCTGAGCCTGCTTGAAGCATTCGGGGAAAAGAAATGCTCTCAAGATTATTGATTATTTGTTTCAGATACAATAATAGCCTTTCGCTGAGATTCCGGTGGAGAGTCTCTTTGAACGTTTAGGATTTGCAGTGGCTAGTGATTGATGTGTTGCGGTGCGGCATTTCTCAAATTGGCACACCGTATGGTGCAAATGAATAACGCACCTTTGCTCTGCATCCTCCTGCTTCTTGCTTTGAGCTTGAGGCCTTGCGCTTGCCGGACGAGCACCTTTGGCAACAGGTCCAACGGTTACAACAGGACGTTTTTGGGAAGATGTTTTGACACTTCTTGAAGACCTCTTTCTTCAAAAATATGCAACAAACAACCCGTACAATAGCCGGAGGAGATTTGGCCCAGAGCAGCCCGGATCTGTGCAGAACAGGGTGATCAGTCGATCTCGCTGGAGGAGTCTACATTGCTTTTGCTTGGTGTCGTGCTTTGTTTGCACTCTTTGCATTTTCTCCGCCCCGGCATGTGCCTTGACCTTCGTTGCAAACTCATCACCGCGACCTTTTTCCTTTTGAGCGGTCATTGGAGCCTGTGGAGTGGATCAACATCACGATTTGAGAAGTCCACGCTCAAGACTAAGAGATGTAAAGGCACGCAACCAACCCTTGGTTTGCAACCGCAGGATTGGGACTTAGCCTTCCAGATGGCTCTCTACCCGGCTTCAAGGCCTTTCTGTCCTACTGATCAACAATGCTTATGCTGAAAAGCCAGTGCACCACCACATGTGGAAGAAGCACTTATTTGATTTATGTGCAGGTTCCACTTTAGCCTTTTTGTCATTGACTTGAAGAAGGAGGCCGGCCCAAACAGTGCTCAACAGCAGTGCTGCCCTTGTTGCTTCAATTCGCCAGACTTGAGTTTCAGTAGAGCGACTCACGGATGATGTGTTGGTTGAAGCTGAAGTTGGCTTTGAACTTGGAGAAGGCCGACTGCTTAGTCGGGATAGAACATAGAACATTCTTTGTGCGCGCGCAACAAGTATGCAGGCCTGCTTTGAGAGGCTTTTAGCACATTTGGTGCACACAGGAGCAGCTTCAACTTGCAAAAGAGTGTTTATCAAGATGGCAGGAACCCTGGAATTTGCTCGAAAGCTTTGTTTGGCTTTGGGACCTTTTCTTTTGTTCCTTCTGATTCAGGTTTGGAGAGGATGTCCCTCAAACCCTTCAGGGACGCACTTACCTCAGCTGCGATCAGCTGTGTGATGTTTGATGAAGCTTTCAGCTTGTTAAACAAAAGATCTCAGCTGCGACGCACTTGTGTCTACTAGCTTCTTGTTACTAGCTTGTGAACACGTTTTGACTGTGAAAAACCGAACAGATCTGGTGGAAAGATGTGGAAAGGAGGCGAAGGAGCCAAAAACTGTCGACAATCAGATTGACTGGAAAGGCTTCACCACACTTCCAGCCTAGTAAGACCGACCGATTCCAGGCGGCTCTAGGTCTTGACCTTCTTGACCTCTTGGCCTAGTCTTGGCTAGATGGAACAAGAACCCTTCTGTTTTCAGTGCATGGTGTCACTCTATCTTAGGTTTTCTTTGGGGGAGTAGTGAGTACCGGGCTATCTTAGCAGTGAGTAAGAGCCAAGTGAGTGAGTGACTGACTGACTGACTCACTCACTCACTTACTGACTCACTAGCTATCTAGCTATCTAGCTAACTAGCTAAGTAGCTGACTGTAACTAAGTAAGAAAGCTGCTAAGAACTTGGAAGCTACCTTGGATGGGGCTCGAGTTCTTCAAAAAAAGATCTCGAGGTAGAGAAGCTTCCTTGGAACTGCGAAGCTGATCTTAAGAACCAGAGAAGGAAGGGAGGAAGGAAGGAGGGAAGGTATCAGAGTCCTTGCCTTCCAAAGAACCAGAGTCTTTGAAACTCATCGAAACTCAGTCTTCCGAAAACAATGTTCTGGAAAGCTCAACATTGGAGCAAGGACGCTACTAGGGGCTCCTGGCATCGCTACTAGGAGCAAGGACGCTACAAGTATCTCCTTGCTCCTAGTGGCGATGCCCTTTGTTCCTAGTAGCGTTCTTGCTCCTAGTAGCAAGGCCAGGAGCCCCTAATAGCGTCCTTGTTCCTAGTAGCGATGCCCTTTGCTCCTAGTAGCGTCCTGTACTTCCTTAAAAAGAAGCTCAATGGGGGGACTCAGAGACTCGAAGACTGAGCGCCAAGCGGTCCTCAAATGTCACCTCACTGAGAGGCAACCAGCTGGAGATTGAGCTGGCAGAGCGGGGTCCCCTAAAGCGACCACTGGCAAAGAGGGAGGATGCTTTCCGAGGCATCCACTTAGTACAGTAATGGGAAACAGTGGTGGGGTGGCTGCCGGCTGCAATGGGAATTTCCTTTTCTGCCGTGAACTTTCACTATTGGTCTTCTACATGATCCTACATGCATCTATACGATTCCGTCCAATATGGCAAGATTTAGTTGATCAACCCGGTTTCATCAATTTCCGATTCTGCGTCCATTTGTGCTATTCTGCCGGATTCTGTTTGATTTGACTCTATCCGATTCTATTTGAGGGATCATGAGGGATGCTGCCAAGATGCATGACGAAGATGCAGACTGGACAAAAGATGTGATTTGGTGCGCATGGGCGAGGCCTTCGCTTGCTGCCTCTACCTCTGACTACATCAAACGACCAAAAGATGCACGGAGATTCGCAGATCAGCAAAGAGCCACTCACCGACCTCATCAGCGCTCATCGGAAGTCTGTACCCTACTTTTGACCGCTTTCGCCTACTCTGCCATGGGCCATGGCTGCTGGCCGCTGATCGCAACCATCGACAATGCTTCGGTGCTGACAGTCGCAAGAACATTGGTGTGGGCTCGCAGTGAAGGAGTTTGCTGGAAGTCTGACACGGCGGAACTCTGGTCTTTTTGGTGCCTAATAGCTGTGCTAGCGTGTGCTAGAAGCGTCCGGAAATCTGGTTTAGAGTACGCGACTGGGTGCTAGGAGCAGCGGTGAGCTAGTGTGACCCATGAAAAGTCTTTTCATGTACATAAACACGTGGAAGTATTTGCTGAAAGAATTGACAACGATTGACACGGATCGGATGCATCTGCACGGATCTGAGCTGGCCCAGCAGCACGGCCACTAAGGCCCACTAAGGTGCAACTGCTGCATGACGACATCCTGTCTCACCCACTTGCAGTCAGATAGAATCGGATAGAATGGAGGACAACTCATATCCAATCACATTTTCCTGCACAGGGGAGGTGCAACGCGCAACCCCTGCATTGTATGATGATAATGGGAAATGGCACATTGTTGTGATCCCACCGCTGACCTTAGAGGAAACCCTGGTGCCCCGATGTATCAGAGATGAAGTTCTTAGGCAGTGTTGCCGGAGTGCGTTTTCTACGTGCCACGTTTTTGCCCCCTGCCCCCCCTGTAAAACTCCGGTGTCGTCTTTGTTAACAAGGGGGCCCGCAAAGATGGACACCTGGGAAGAGCTTCACCGAAAAGTTGCCTAGGACGCTTACCTCAATTTGTTTGATGTTGCATTATTGAAGACGCTCAGGGTGAGAGCGGTCCCGTGGCCTGTTGATGTTCGGGTAGGGTTTAGCGTCAGCTGCTTAGGCTTGTGGGGCCTGTAGGTCCTCTTACCTGGGTCAGGTTGGGTTCCCCTCTGTTTGGGTTGCTTAAACCCTGGGGTTCTGTTGACCTGGTGTCCTGGGTCAGGTTGGGTTTCCCTCTGTTTGGGTTGCTTAAACCCTAGGGTCATGTTGACCTGGTGTTAGTTAGCCGCAGTGTGCTCAGATGTGAGGTGAGCTGTTTGTCAGTTCATGGCACTGCGGTTGATTGGTTTTTGACCCGCCCTCCTCCCTAAACCCGGGGGGTGTTTATGGTCTCCATCATGTTAGGCATGCTTGGGCCATGGTGGTCTGTGGAACAGATCAGGCCATGGTGGTCTGTGGAACAGATCACCTTTTCTTGAGCTTAGGGGACAGCGGGTCAAAACTTTCAGACCTTTGTTGGTCAATGTCAACAGCAGTTAAGGCAAATGTGCCTTGTCTGCTTGCCGAGGAATGCCTGGCACCAGCATGTTTGGTGGATTCGCCACCCATCCCCTGCAAGTGTTTGGACACGAGGGGTTGGTTTCCCTGTTTTGGGTTGTTCTTCGGGGCCTTCCCCGTGTGGGTGTCGGTTGTGTTTTCCGAGCCAGGGAAGATCGTGCGCGACCGACCCCGTGTTCCTTTGCCAATGGGCCCAGCTTGTTTGACTTAGAATCTCCTGAGTCGTACATTGTGATTCTCTTTCGAGCGCCATGGCGAATTTGACTGACAGTGAGGCCGCTTTTTGCCACCGGATGATTGAGCTCGAGTTTGACAACTCGCAGCAAAAGGGTCTGCTGGACCAAGGCTTGAACAGCTTTGCGAAATTGGCCTTTGCGGCGCCCAATCAGCCAGGCCAGATCGATGAAACAAAGTTTGGGAAGCTCGTAACCACCTGCTTTGCCGCCGATTCGGTGACACTGGGGCTAGAGAGTCAGATGCGCAGACTTATTTTTGAAGCCATCACGCACAGAGTGCAAAGCATTGCCGATCGGACACGTGACCCCATTGCCGGTGAAGACATGAAGATGCCTCCGCAAGAGCGTGGGGCTTCTGATCCGGCACGCAACTGAGCCGGCGCATGGTCTTGTGGACAAGTTTGTGAAAATGGTGCATGATTCGTGCCTCAAGTACATTCCCTTGCCTGGTTGCGTGAGCCGCGAAGATGAGTTATGCAATGAACGAACCTCTAAGAAGCTCCTTCACCTCGAGCACAACCAGCTGGTCGTAAAGTCCAAGGACTCATCCATGCGCCTGGACTTAAATTGCCCGCTGCGTCTCCAGCAAGCATTGACGCGCCGGGCCCTTGCTGCAGACCAAGCTGGCGTGGTATCTTTTGCGGCCTTGGACATGGTGACGCACGGTTTCCTGGCGCATTTGAACCGGCCAGTTCCACCAGGGTTTGATGGCCCTTCGGTGAGCTCTGTGATCCGCGCCGACCAAGAACTGTGGAAACTGGTTGCCGACGCGGCGGGCTCGAAGATCCAGGCTGATGCCACAGGAACAAAACCTCTCGACGCTTTATTCCAGAAAATGAGCTCGGAAGCCACTGTGGTTTTCCATCTGCTCCCAACACCGAAGGGAGCTGGTGGTGACAAGCCATACAAGAAGACCAAGAAGCGTCCAGTCAGTTTCGGATCCGAGGATTCTGAGCCCAAGCGCAGGAAACCAGACAAGCCTGACAAGTCGAAGCGCGCTGCAGTGCCCAAAGCTCTGAAAGGCCTATCTGCGCGCAACAAGAAAGGCGTTCCATATTGCTTCAATTTCAATTTGGCCCATGGTTGCACCGGAAAAGCTAGTGACACACCTTTGCAGCTGCTCTCGAGGACTCCATGCGTGCATGAAGTGTGGGCGCGAGCATGGCCAACACGAATGCCGCGACTGACTATCAGCTGGTGGTGCTCTATGCCTTGAGATCTCTGCAGGCGATCCAAGTATCGCGCCGCATTTGCGACAGCGTGGTTTGCCAGATTTGAAGCACAATTTGCAAGCGCCTTTGCAGCGGGAGCTCTTGCAGGAGCTTTTGGACTCCGATTCAATTTTTTGTGCAACTTTCAGATTGCTGCCTGATTTTGATTTGCGCAATGGTGTTTTGGATTGGGTTCTGGCGCAATGTGTTGAGCTGCATGAAAGAAACTGCTTGTGGTGCATCTGCGGGAACTCAGATCACAGTTTTTGGCAACGAATTGAAGAATTTTGGTGCAATTCTGAACGAAATTATTGGAAGGTGACTGTTGACTTGTGTGAATATGGTATGCGCTCCTGCTCTTCTTTCACGATACTGTGCAATACGTCAGCGTTCTGCGCATTGCAGCGCCTTTGTTCACATGACCACAGGGTAAGCCCCAGCAACATGGAGCAACAGTTACCCGCCGCTTTTTGCAAACACTGGTCTCACTTATTCGAAGATTTGGTTTCTGGCTCTGGTTGGTCCGGGGTTGACCCCGGTGTTCCTGATTTGCAAAACCGCGCAAGTTTGGGGTGGCAACCACGTGGGTGCAAATTACCACCACTTTTGACTGACTTTCTTGAACCTCAGGCGTACGACGTTGCCGAGCATCCGGATCTCGCTGACATTTTACCTGGGTGCCGCATTCCTGACGGTCTGGGTTTTCCAAAAGGATCGAGGGTCTTGCGTGGCGCTGGTCAAAATGGTTTTGCGATGCTGGGCTTGCCTCGCGAACCCTTAGCTTTTTTGAGCGCAGCGAGTGAATTAGTACACCCAGTGGAGCGGGCCGGCCAAGTGAGTTCTGCCATAGCAGCTGCAGTGGCTTCGCATCGAGAGCTGACACCTCTAGATTTGCTCAAAGCACGGCAGCAGTTTTTCCGCCAGGCTTTGGAGACTATCAAAAACTTGAGTGCGCGCGAGGCACAGCTACATGAGAACATGCCATCGCACCTCGCCAAAGTTATGCGGGGCAAGCGCTTATTGTTTTTGGATAAGCTGTTGACAGACATTGGCCATCCAGACGACACTTTGTTTGACAACCTATCCAAAGGTTTCCCCTTGTTTGGTTGGTTGACAAAAACCGGGCTTTTTCCTGAAAGTTGGTGTCCTCCTGCCCTTCATCCTAGTGAACTGTTACGTGTTGCGCGGAAGCAAAATCACTGGGTATTGAATTCCTCTCAGCGCGGCTCCCATCAGCTGGAGATCGATGAAGCGGTGTGGCGCACCACAATGGACGAGGTCAACAAGGGTTGAGCCGAGGGCCCCTTTTCTCTCGTGGAAGCCGAAGGCATGACAACAAGTCAGCTCATCGTCTCAAGACGCTTTGGCGTGGCGCAAAAGACAAAGGTTCGCGCAATTGATGATTTCTCTGCTAGCAACATCAATGCGTGCACTGGCACCAAAGAGAAAGTCCGGGTCGAAAGTGTCGACGCAGCCGCCACCATGATCCGCACTTGGATGAAAGCTTTTGAAGGCACTGGCCGCGCCCTAGTCGGCCGTACCTATGACCTGAAGTCAGCTTATCGCCAACTGGGCATCAGCGCCGAACACTTGCATGCTGCTTGGATTTCTGTATTTGATCCATCCGGCCAGGGTGCAAAACTTTTTCGCCTCAATGCCTTGCCTTTTGGGGCGTCAGCGTCTGTCTCCAACTTTTTGTTAACAAGGGGGCCCGCAAAGATGGACACCTGGGAAGAGCTTCACCGAAAAGTTGCCTAGGACTATATACAGAATCCTTTTTTAAACTCGTGTCAAAAATGGAATAACATCCAGATCAAACGGTTTTCCTTTTCCCGTCACAAAAGCATCAAACGCCCTTTATCAAAATAGCGTTGATTCTTCAATATTTTTCGCTTGTAAACTTTTCACCAGACTAGGGAATAAAGATTTCGAAAGGTGATGCCGCTGTGCCATGCGGTTTTGCGCGGCCTCAGTGGAAAGTGCGTTTGTGTGGCTCTGTGCCATTTCGGAAGGGTGCGCATGCGTGTGTGAATGCAGCGTGGCGCTAGTGAGGGGCATGATTGCTTCTAGTGGGTGGGTGCCCAATCAATCCTAAACTTTCCCAGTTAGTTTGAAGTTCAAGTAGTAGCTTAAGGCAGCAGTAGTTCAAAAGCAAGTGTGAGCTGTGTGTCTCCAATTTTTCTATCTGGGGAGTACTTTTTCATTGGTACTTGGGATTCCTTACGTTCTTGCTTGTCAGGCTGACAACTGCTTCCCGCTTCTAGGCTAGCTTGCTTTGACAAGAAGGAGGACGTACTCTTCCTGCAGTTGCGTGCCCAGATGAAACAACGTGAAAAATGCCTAATGGGTGTGCCGAATGGTCCTAACGTCTCGAACGGCAAGGCCTGATGACCAAAGTGCCACAGAGATGTCTGACCTCAACCGGACCCTTCAAGCGCCGGGTCATCAGCGGTGCGGTGGTGCCACCATGCTGTGTTTTCTCTGAACCATTTTGATTGGTTATTCTATTCACTTTCCTGAGGCGTTTGTCCACATGCATGTTGGCAGAAAAGCAGAGGTGGGTTTTGAATGATTATTTTGTTGTTCAACAGATTGCTCATAGGTTGTGTTTTCGCGCGCGCGCACACACACACTCAGTTTTCGTACATATTGTATTTACACACTGTCAACGTACTATATATGTACCGTACGTACTATATATATATATAAGACCTGCATCATTGTCATTGTTCCTCATGATTGCAGACAGACTGGCGGTTCGTTTTTCCGCTATGAATTACAGTGTAAATATGTGAAGTAGGGTTAGGACAAACTTTCAATATCGCAAGGACATCCATGTAAAACATACTATAATATACATAACTGACTATGTTCCAAATCTGAGGACTTGAACTTTTCGGATTGAAGTTTCTGAGCGCGAGGCCTACGCTTCAGCCTCATGCGACCATCATGAAGCTGGAACCTGAGTGAACCTGGAGGTAGGTTTGACTGCCCTTGCTGCGGGATGTTCCGGTCAGAGTTTTGGCCAGCTAGTGTTGCAAAATTGGGGTAGAATTGGTGTGGGTCAAGGATCTTGAAGGAGATGGGTCCATCTGCAAATGCCACGCCATGCCACATGCCACGCTTGAGAGAAACAAAACTGGCCGAGGAAAAGTCAAGTGGGTTGGGAGCTCAGGCAATGGAGTTATCCCTCCGTCCATAGACTTTAGAGGCCTTAGGACGGCCACCCTCGACCAAGGTCGGAAGCTGGGTCAGAAGCTGGATGCAAATCGGGTCAAATCTATCATGAAGTACCGTTCTCAGTCTGACATTGCCAATCATTGTGGTTGCCATTTTCTACTCCTCTTAAATAGCTGGTCGATTTGTGAGTGGTAAATTTCAGGACTTTGCGGTTTCCTCGCGAGGCGGATCCTGGTTGGACTTATATAATCTTACATGCTTTCTCCTTATTTAGATTAGCATGTCATCGCTATTGTTTTCGTGTTTTCACTTCTATTTTTTCAATCCTCTCATCCTTATTTTTTCCATTACCAACAGGCCCAAACCATCTTGCCTTATTTGCATCCTATTAAGCGTTTAATAGAGGGAAAAAATCTTCTATTAGCATTGCTTAGTGGCTAATAATTCTTATCAAATGACTAATAGTGCTGTATGCAAAAATGGCGACCCCCGGTGGGTGTGACCCCTAGGGGGTCGAGCCTTCCATGATTATATATTAGATGAACTCAACCCTGAAAGGATATATGGAAGGAACCGAACTCGATCTCGAACTCGAACTGGAACAGTTAGAAGTCAACCCGGTGGACGAATAGAAGGAGTCGAGCTCCAAAATCGCTGTCGTCGATTCGAATTCGATCTCGAACTCGAACTGGTCTCTCCCAACGGGTGTCAAAATTGTCGTCGATTTGAATTCGAATTCGAACTAATGCTACGTTGTAATGGCTCCTTCCAATTCTAAATTTCACCCTTGAATGGCCCACAACAGGAATGCTGCGTTGTAATGGCTCCTTCCTGCTCTAAGTTTTTTCCCTCGGGTGGCCCACAAACGGAATGCTACGTTGTAATGGCTCCTTCCTACTTTAAATTTTACCATCGGGTGGCTCTCAACAAGAAATGCTTCGTTGTAATGGCTCCTTCCTTCTCTAAATTTTACCTCTTCCTTTTCTAAATTTCACTCTCGAATGGCCCACAGCAGGAATGCTGCGTTGTAATGGCTCCTTCCTGCTCTAAGTTTTACCCTCGGGTGGCCCGCAACAGGAATGCTACGTTGTAGTGGCTCCTTCCTACTCTAAACTTTACCATCGGGTGGCTTACAAAAAGAATGGCTTGGTTGTAATGGCTCCTTCCTTCCTGTTGTTGGGCATGCTACGTTGCAATGGCTTCTTCCTTTTCTACAATTTACCTTCGAATTGCCCACGAAAGGAATGCTACGTTGCAATGGCTTCTTCCTACTCTAAACTGTCCCTTCGTGTGACCCACAAATTGCATGCCACGTTGCAATGGCTTCTTCCTTTTTGTAGATGTATTTCGAATGGCCAACAAAAGGAATGCTACGTTGCAATGGCTTGGTTGGTTGGTTGGTTAGCAGGTTTTTTGCCGCAGGGAGTTCACACTAAAAAGTTGATTCCGTGGCAGGCGCGGGTTTTGGAGATGAAGTGCAGATTTCGTGGCGCGGGGGGGGTTGGGGGGGCGCAGCGCCTCTCCCAGCAGGACACAAGATCCCAATAAAACAAGTGTTTGCTGCAAAGATGAGACTGCGCAGAGCGGATACTTTCAACAGGTTGATTGCTTTGTTGCTGGCTTGGTTGGTTCCTGTTCTTCTTTGTTGTGGGTCGTGGCGATTGCGGTTGTGGTTGTTGTCGTTGCTGTTGGTTCTCGTTGCTGTTGTTGTGGGTCGATCCGAACTCAATCACGAACTGGTTCACCCCCCTTTAGAAGTCCCTTTTAGTCGCCGATCCGAACTCGAACTCGAACTCGAACTGGTCCACCCCCGGCTCTATAATTGTTGTCGATCTGAACTCGAACTCGAACTGGTCCACCCCCCGGCTCTATAATAATAATTGTTGTCGAACTCGAACTTGAACTTACTGGTCCACCGGTGCCCCCAGCTCTATGATTTTTGTCGATCCGAACTCGAACCCCCCCCGGCTCTGTAATTGTTGTCGATCCGAACTCGAACTTGAACTGGTACACCCCCCTCTCGCTCGATCCACGCAATCTCGTGCACCGAGCTCGAACCCGAACTCGAAATTGAACGGGATCAGTTAGAACCACCTGGGGCACGGCCTGATCCGGATGGACGTTGCTACCATCCAGCTCATCTAAAAAGCAGACTTCCATCGTTGACAAACAGAGTCGCTACATACATGTGGCGACAAAAGGATGATGTCAACTGTAAAAAATTCTATGTGGTGCACGGCGCAATAGGGTATACCTGCTACCATATTTAAAGGCTTACGCCTAACAGCCGGGCGCCGGCCCACTTGGGTCTGTGTAGGGCTGGGTCGGGTGCACGTTAAGCTATCGGGGGCGTACTGGGCCCTGGGTGGTGCCAAGGTGGGAAACTGGTCCGCGTCGGAGATGGGGGCCCTATATTGAGCAAAGTTAAGCTATTTGGTGCGCATCTTGGCCCTAGGTTGGGCCAAGTTGGGCCCATGTGATCTATGTTGGGCACATCTTGGGCCCATGTTGAGCCTATGTTGAGCCTATGTCGGCCTATGTTAGGCCTATGTTGGCCTATGTTGGGCCTATGTTGGCCCCATGTTGGCCTAATGTTGAGCCATGTTGGGCATATGTTGGGGATATGTTGGCTATCTTGGGCCTATGTTGAGGATATGTTAGGCAATGTAAGTCGTCTGGAGGGCCTCTACTCACAAAATGTCGATTAAGCCTGTCCGCCCGGCGCGCATTACCGACACCACCCTTGAAAAACACAGCATTTTTGCATTTTTCCCTTTTCCCCCCGTCGTACTTCGATATGCGCAATAAACCCTGTAAAACACAGTGTTTTTTATACCTCACACACACGAAACCCTGTAAATTACGTTGATATCAGTGACTCGGTGGTCCCCCCGTTTTGGTGACGAGGGTCGGCGGCAGGGGGCGCGCCCGTATATAACCTTCGGTTACCACCGAAGGCCCTCCGGGCATGCCACGGGCATCCTGGCCGGCGCCCGGATTTACCAGGCTACCGCCTGCAGCCGCCGACCCCAAGGGAAAATGTAGTGGCAGGGTTGGGTCCCGGGATGGTCGCGGGCAGGGCCTACGAGTGGAATTGGTTTTTCATAGAAGTGGGTACGTTTTCCGCTGGATTTGTAGGATGTCAAAGGTTGTTTTGGGTTCCCAGGTTTGCCGAGAAAATTGCTAACCCATTTTCTTCCATTGTTGTACTCATGCGGCCAGTGCCCGTGGTTTGTCCTAGATGTTGTAACGTCAAAGGCTTTGGTAAGATTTACGCATGCCTGTCAGGCACCCGTGTCCGCGCCGTGTGGCGTGTTGGTTCTAGGATGGAGCAGTGCAAACGGAAGCTCGGGCAGGTGGTTGCCAGGTAGACAAACCCAAAGGCATTCCTAAGAAAATCCTGGAAAAGCCTTTGAAAATCCGACAAATCCAACAGAAAATGTGACAAAATCTAGGAAAAATCAAGGGCGACAGTGGAATCAAATAGGGCACGAGTACAACAATGGAATCAAATAGCTTAGCAATAGGTTAGCAATTTTTTGAGGAAATCTGGGAACCCAAAAAACAAGAGGAAATCCCTCGAAAATCCTACAAATCCAGCGGAAAACGTGACAAAATCTAGAAAAAACCAAGAGCATTCCTGAGGAAAAGCCTTTGAACATCCTACAAATCCAACGAAAAAGGCAACAAAATCTAGGAAAAATCAAGGGCATTGGCCGGGACCACGCCGCGACCAGCCCGGGATTCGTGCCCGGGACCATTTTAGACCGTGCTTACTTTCCCGCGCGGGTGGAGAGGGTGCCCCAAGATGTAAATCAATTGGGATGGCAGAATCTTGGACAATCAGGTCGGCAAAAGGTCGAGATCTTCGTCACTGCAGCAAGGGTCCGGAGGGGTAGGGGAGGTATCAGGTCTAAGGCTAAGTCTAAGGATAAGGCTAAGGTCTAAGGCTAAGGCCAAGGCTAAGGCTATCAATCAACAGTCACGCCTCACCCCACGAGTGGGGTCGGCGGATTGCCATCCTCTTTTGCCTGTGTGCAAACATTCCAAGTACCTATTATCAAGTTGCACAGTATGCGGGAGGCGTGGAGCGAGTACAACAAAAGCTTGGGCAAGTGCGAACTGCCGGGGTCAAGCTAGACTCAGCATAGGTATGCATAGGTGAACAATTCTTTGCTATTGTTATCATTGTTATCATTGAACTTGTCAGGGTGTATACTCGCTCCTGATGGTACATCGATTTCAGTCAACGATTGTTATGCATTTAAAGTGCTGGCACAATTTGCTCGTTTCAGCAGCCTTGCCTGCATGTCATGTCCCTTTGGATGCCCAAACAGGTACGCTGCAAGAGAAGTGCAACTCTTGGACATGAGGAAACCGAAAGACGGTTACTTTGAAGCCTGGCAAGTGTTTGTCGAACCATTGCCATGAACTGGCTTCAATATCAATATTGCCTGCGAACCAGCCAAGTCTACAAGCCCAGGAAGTCGAATGGGAAGGAAGCTTCCGCTGAGGGGAAGATCAGAGCGAACTTGAGTTTTGCTTGCCACCATTGCTTTGAATGGCAGCCAGAAATTATCGGAATCTCACACTCCAGAGCACCAGCTCCAGCCTGGCGCACCAGCCGCGCAGCAGCGGCGCAGCTTGATCATTCCCTAGGGAGAAAAAAATGTTGTTATTTTTCTTGTGTAGAATGACAGCCAAGGTGAATTTTTAGAAAGAGTGCCAATCGCAGTAGCATGAGTTTCGAAGCCAGTCCAAACACTACAGAGTCTTGCCCAAGCAAGTGATTGAGTGATCAGTTTTACATTCTTATTGTGTTTGGCAGATGTTCTTGTTTGATACATCATCAGGCACAGCTGGTCGAGTCTCAGCAAGAGGCAGAGGAAGCATGTGCTGAAATCGGCGGCTCACTGTTACCGTTACCAACAAAAAGTGACCCCATGAGTAGCAAGAGCCTTACAGGCACACTGCTCAAGTGGTTTGCATCACTTGGTGGACTAGACTAGATGTTTGGAAGGCAGGCCTGCACACTCATTTCAAGCCACAGCTAGCCTGCATTTTACAGACTCACAATCCCTATTGTAGTAGGTCTACTTTGCAGCCTCCCGTTGAGAAAGTTCAAGGATTGCTGGTGAGGTTGGACCTCGTAGCGCCACGGTCTGGTGAAGTGCACTTTGTGCCTATAGAACCAGTGTTTTATCTCGCTGACAATTGCACCCCCTGTGCTTTTGGCGGACCGGTTCTTCCAAGATGTTCTGTTTGAACAAATCGGTTTTCCAGGAGCTGGTACCAGAGCTGCTAGCAGCTCGTGTCCTGGGCACGGATCCAAAGGTCCCTATCAAGTTGCTTGCTGAAAGGTTGCTGAAAGATGCACATATTTTCAACAAGCTGCATGTCAGGCTTCATAGAACCTCATGATCTATAACATCATAGATCATCATAGTATTCGTTCTTGAGGTTTGGACTGCGAGGGCGTTTCCCTCGGCCGGTGGGGGCGATTGTGCCTTTGCCAGGTCGGTGTCGTTTTGGAGATGAAATTCATGCCCTTTGTCCAGACTACGCCTACGCAAGCCAACTCTATGGAATTCATGCCACGTGCAAGCTGACTTTACAAGCTGGCACATCACAACACCTCTCAAACTCCAAGAAAAATGTTTGCAAAAAGCCACACAGCATGTTCGTCACATACGTTGTTTGACCACACTTTGAATCTTTATTGTCAGCAACTCAAACATATCACATCACAACATCATTCCAAGCTAAGAGCCTGCCACATTTATTGCCTTAATATTATGTGTATATATATATATTTTATAGAGCAATCATAATGTATCAACAGACATGTTAACCGGATTATCTAGCAGTGCTTGGGGTACGGTGTATTTGTCAGACATTTGGACATCAATATAATATGGTAGCACGATATCGAATAGATAAGTCTATACCGCACAGAAACCGGTATATAACTGCAGCCTTAACTTCGGTAATAGAATACAGTAGTAAAGGGCGTGTGCACAAAACGATGCAAAAGACATCAAAACACAAGATCCACTCAGCGTAAAGCCCAGTACTGTTTTTGAACTTGGAGAAACTACATGACAACCATTATGACTATAACCTCGACCCCCATTGCCCTGTGAGTAAGCCAGGTATTTGTTGAATGCTGCACATGGTTAAAGTTTTGCGGTCATAAAGGCCTACCCACACTGACAACCAGAACGATAACAACTAGTGCCACTTGACATGGAACATCATCTTGGTCTTAGCCAATTGTTGGCCACTAGTTACTAGTTATCACTAAGTGCAGCATATGTAAACATTTGGCGGGCGACGCTCTGTATGGACACAGCCACAGACGGAAACAAGGAGATTGAACATGTAACACACTGCACTTGCACAGATTGACTCGCAAATGATGGAAGCATAGACAGAAGTTGTGCAGCGGATTCACAACAATACCAAACCAGAATCAAGCCTCAATTGATTGTGGTTGCTTCTCATATTGTTGTTCCTGGTGCTTCCATTCAGGGATGTTAGGTGAACATGTTGCTAGTAAGAGAGATTGTTTTGTCCCACGAATGGCCGCTTTCAATGTATTGTAGGTGGCAACGCCAGGGCAGGCCGAGATTTATTGGATTTGCATATTTGCATAATGGATATTATTCAACAAAGTATTCTGCAGCAGGCAAAAAGAATGTGCTTTCAACGAGTTGTTTTTTCCGTGCCTTTACTCTAGAACTCTCAAGCCGCCACCAAGTGCGGCTTAATCCTCCCGCGCAACATGGATGTGACCAGAGTTGCTGCTAAGCTTGTCAATGGTGCTGCCATTGGTTTCACTGTTGTTCAGGTGGGTATAGACCTATGTGACCTCGATCTTAGAGCAAATGGAAGAGTGTTGTAGAAGTTTGTGCGCTAGTAACAGGCACAATGAGCCTTTGTTCATGAGCACCTGAGCTTATGCTTTTGTTTATTTGGTTTGCACTGGAAGGCCGGGAAGGTGCGGCGCACAAGGTCAGAAACCAAAGATGTTCAACTGCCTGCTTCATCACTCCAGAGGCAGAGCTTTGCATTCAAGATTTGACCTTGTTGAGATGGATGCGCATGCCCAGTTCCTAGCGTACTATTGTAAGCAGCAAAGTCACAGATGCCATCCCTTCATGTTGAGCCTTCAATCTTGAGAGTTTGCAACAGGCAATCCTAGATGAGGGAAACTTAAGAGGTGTTCGTAGTAGCTTCTAGCTACCAAAGCGATGCCAGGAGCTACTAGTAGCATCTTTGCTCCTGGATCTCCAAGTAGCGATGCCCTTTGTTCCTAGTAGCGATGCCCTATGAGAACATGAAGGATTAGCAATTCTTCAATCTCTCTTTGCAGTGATCTCCAGTGGGGTCAAATCGCAGGATTCGAAGCGACACCCCTAGCAGCGATGCCTAAGCAATACCCCAAGGGATGCCCGCGATCATGCCAGTCCACCATGTGCCCACCCACACAAATCAGTTTTGACAGCCGCACATAAGCTTGCTGAGGATTCGGATATATAATTGTTCTTACAGTATATCAGAATATCAGAACATAGCCACATAGCTTTCTTCTCGGCAGATGGCAGAGGCCCTTGAAGCATCAACTCAGTTGGCGCTCCGGCCTGCGTGGGGGGGGTTAGCCGAGAGACTTCGGAACAGGTGCACCGGATGATTGAATTTTTAATGAATCCACTTGTATGTAGCTTTCAAGGTGATGACATAATACGATTCATTCTATGCTTGCATGCCAAATCACAAAAACGATGCTTTGCTGGTACGTGATAAATGACCTTTTGCATTGAATGAGCACAGGTGCTTGCAGTACCCTCGACGAAGCAGGAGTCAGTGCCAGTGCCTCGTTTGCGGCAGGCCACAGCAATAGACTCACAGATGGACTTTCTGCATGGTTCTGGTAGATTCGATTTTCATATCATCAGGCAACAAGTTCCAGATCCAGATGGATGTTTCAATGTCCGTCTGTCTATGTTGGCAAACTTTGTGCTAAGTGTGAATGCGCTCGGCAGGCAAAGCACCGGCAAGCTCTAAGTGAAGTGGCAGTGTATTGCAAGGCTCCAGCTTGATCGTCGGTTGATGCGATGTTTGTTTGGCTTTGCATGTTTGCGCCACACAGTGCAGTTGAAGTGGAGAATTACTGTATATACAGTGAATTGTGATTGTTGTTTTGTGCCCCAAAAAGTATTCTTTGCTTAGCTTTCTCAGCCTGCCAGTCGCATGCAAGATACCTTTTGCCACCCACCTTCACAGAAACACCATAAACAAAGCTGCGAGTATGAATCTCAAGTACCAGCTGAGAATCTCGAGTTGAAGAATTATGAAGAATGAAGCCACTGTAGAAAGTGCGAGCCAAAACATCACCAAACCATCACACAAGATGACGGTAACTCGATTTTGAACAGTGACTTAAGCAAGGATGGGCCGGGCTGTCATTGCACGGTGTATATGGCAAGTTCGATCGAAGTCTTGGATTGGCAACCAAAAAGCTGGGAGCTGTAGGACGGTGCTCTTATATGCTCTCACTTCTAGGAGGGTTTCTTCATGTTTCTCCTTTACACTGTAGAATCCAAAGGAACCCAGCGATATCATTCTCCAGTTAGCCAACTTGCATTTTAGCTCTTCCTTGCTGGTTTGTTTTCCATGTCCTATAAATATGTATACCGCTTCCCTTTCCTGGGTGGCTTTCCTTTGCTTGACAGTGTCTATTGAAAAAGTACTGGTAGGGTGGGCGGCGCCTCGTCTGTACACGCGAAAGGTGACTCGTCTGTACACGCGAGTGAGATGCCTCGTCTGTACACGCGGATGTGCTGCCTCAACCTCACTCTCACTCTCACTCACTCTGACTCACTCTCACTCACTCACTCACTCTCACTCACTCTCTCACTCACTCTCTCTCTCTCTCACTCTCTCACTCATTCACTCACTCACGCACTGACTCACTCACTGACTCACTCACTGACTCACTCACTCACTCATTCATTCATTCATTCTTTCACTCATTCATTCATTAGCCTGGCCACATACTTACTTCTTTCTTTGCTGACTTAGTCACTCATGCCTTCACTGAGGTTGTCACACAGTCGTCACCCAATCCCTC